AACGCTGTTGGAACTTGGCCAATTGCACTCATCGTTGCACCACGTTTAATCCGCGGTATGCATCTAGCGGTCGTAGTGGTCGGTATCCAACGAAACTGCGTAACGCACATGGTGCTGTAGTTTCTGTGGAGGATCGCGAGCATAGCAAACATGCTCGTAGGAATCCTTGATCCATCGCGCGGCAACCCTGGCTCTCGGTACCAGCACCATGTGCGTTACGCATTTTCGTTGGCCACCGACCACTACATCCGAGAGCGGGGTTGCCGCGCGATGGACCAAGGATTCCTACGCGCATGTTTGCCATGCCCACGATTCTCCACAGAGACCACCGTAGCGGAATTGGACTGGCCTGAAATGGATTCCTGCGTACCATCCATCATAACGCGCAACTCAACGTTTGCGGATATTTTAACGGAGCCCGCTGCAACGATGTGCACCTCATTCTCACACTGAGATCCCAAGTAAGGGGATTGGTTTCACGTGCACGGCGGTACAGTTTCTGAACACTTCGACGTGTCGCAGCGCATGCTATATTCCAACTTAACGGAGATACCATTTCCAAACGCATACAAAATATTCAGCGCTTGCAGATACCCGTAAGAGCCGAGAGTTTGGACGTACACGTCGATTTCCACCAACAACTTTTGGAATCTACCAACGTTTTTACGCCTGTCTAGTACGGAATCCCAATTGACGTGCTATCATGCTAAAACCCGCAACCTCCACCTCACGGGGTATCAAAGGTGACGTCCGTTTGTGACGCCTACAGGCGATGTCAATACCCCTCGATACACCAGGACTGGAAGGATAGGAAAATCCCTTGAGTCTTCCATCTTCAGCGGATCGTTGAGCCAGGAAACGCTAAGCTGATAGGAGGTCTTGATGGATGTAAAACGAAATACCCGAAACACCCTGGTCAAACACTTACTGCCACGTTCCCTGCACTAGCAGACAATACTGTGCAGGCCACGAGAAATGAGGAAGCGGTAGAAAGAAAATGGAAGCTAAAGGGGAACGAAAATCATTTAAATTAAGGATAACACCAATGAGTGAAGAGAATGACAGCATTCGAACCGAAAGTTAGAAGATGGTTATGGTCAGGGAGGGGAAAGTTTTCGTGTTGCCAGCAAAGAGCGTCTAACTGACGCTCGAAACCTTTACCCGTAGGCTCACTGACTACACTTTCTGGAAGCGAGTTCCAGCGCTCGCTAACTTTCCGGGATAACCGATTTTCCGCCCGGATCCCGTCAGAAAGCGGCTTGTGTAGGTTAATGGGATGACCTCGAAGACAAGTCAACCCAGCCGGGTCAAATAGCCAGCTAAAGTCCGGTCCAACCTTCCCCATTAAAATGCGGTAAGTAAGGATTAGATCGCCTCGAAGCCGTCGGTAGTGCACTGAATACAAACCCAAGCTAAGCAGATGCCCGCAGTACGATTGCCCCCGTAACTCCTCGACCAATTTGGTATCCACTCTCAAAACCCACTCGAGCTCCATTTTGTCCCCTACAACGCAGGGCGGGCAAGTCTGGACGCAGTCGTCCAGATGGGGCCGAACGGAAGTTAAGAACAGCTTCACAAATATGCCCGCAGTTAAGACCCCGAAAGAACGGCGTAATAACCACAGCATTCTGACACCCCTAGTAGCGGCCTTCTTCCAGTAGTCACCAGAATACGAAGACGAGGAATGGACAACGGGTAGGTCTACCTGGCTGGAGACAAGCAGGAGTCCGACCCCATCGTGTACGTAGCTCGAAGGCGGGAACGTTGTTCCTATACGAAGGACGGAACACTTAGCCTGCTTAATGGACAGTAGCAACCAAATATACCAGTCCGAGGGTCTGTCAAAGGCATGCTGCATTGCCTCAATAGCCCTAGGAACACATACAACGTTCCATATCTTAAGTTCATCAGCCAACCATGGTGATGAGACTCAAAGCTCTCCAGGGAGATGGTTTACGTAGAGGGAGAGCAGCACCGGTCCAAGGACCGAGCCTAGTGGGACACCGCTGAGGAACGCTTGCCTGAAGAATAAGCTGCGACCAACACGTACACACTTCTCTCTTCCCTGCAAGAGCGCAGATACCCAGTGAAGGGCGCGGCCGGATGCGTCGTAGGAAATTAGCTTTTGTGATGGCCTGAAGTGCGGTACCTTATCAAATTCTTTCGAAGAGTCTAAGAAAAGCACATTCACTGAGTGGCCATTTGTTCATTGTCTCGGCCCAAGCTTCACGATCAACCAACAAATTTGCCAGACACGAAAACCCCTTCCGGAATCCGTTTTGCACTACTGAGTTGATTAAATCTATTCAGGTGACCTTCCAACGAATCTCTCACCAGCTTTCCAGGCAGTTTGACCACGACGCTAGCCAGACTGACTGGTCTGTAATTGGCTGACAGACGCCTGTCGACATTTTTGAAGATAGGACAGATGACAGCCTCTTTCCATTCGGAAAGTAATGTGCAGCTGTCAAGTGATTTACTTCCACCGCCAACGCATGCAGAAGCTCCGGGTGAATTGAATCAGGTCCAGCTGCTTTGGAAGGGTTCGGTTCTTGCAGCAGGTTAAAGACTTGCGTTTCCACCACAATAAGCTCACCTAACTAAGAACTCTCAGGTCTTCTGGAGACAAGTTCAAAGCTGGTCAACGCGGCCTTAAGTGCAAAACCCCTGTGTACTGCTCCCCAAGTACACGAGCGTTATCTGAGTCCGCATGTGCAAGAGTTCCATCCGCCCACATAAAAATTGGGAAAACCGCATTTGAACCACAGCGTCTCTTAACATAAGCGAAGAACTTCGGATTTTCCGATGCTCCATCAGCCAATTCCTTTTCGTTCACCAGCCGAGCTTTCCTTAAGACTTGTTTGCACCCATTTCTAGCCTCGTGGTATCTACCCTAGGTGCTAGTTGATGGAACCGCACGGTAGGTCCTCCAGCACTTAGAGCGCTTCTGGAACGGGTACTTGCCAGTGGTATCTACCGCCGGCGACCGCGCTAGTGTCTGCTTTCTCTCCGCAAGTAAGATGTAGGGTGTAGACACCTACGTGAGATAAGAATAAAATTTAGCCCAAGCCGTCTGAACTGTGTCAACCACCAAGATTTCGCAACGCAACCCAGAAGCCTTGATACCCTTTTGCCTTATAGTTAGCACGCCTTTTGTTTGGAAATGGCTTAGCAATGCTCCGGTGACGCGTGGTCAGAGTACCCCTGAAAGATAAACAAACATGATCACTGACACCCAAGGGAGAGCTGTAAGTGATGTAAATTACGAAGTCTAGTGACTTGGCAAAAACTAGATCAAAAATAGGCGGTAGTTGGGCATCTATGTACCTAGTGGGGAGGTCCCCGATCTGATGCGACGGTACTTGTAGCGTAAGCGCAAGAAGAGCTGCACCGAAGGTACCTCCCACCGAGTTGCAAGAAAGAGCTGCCCAGCAAACTTCTGGTAGGTTGAAATCCCCCAGGATCAAACACCTGTTTGCGGATTGGGAGCGCATAAAGTCAAGCACCTCTTTGGACGCACTCCCAGGGCTTCTATGCACAAGTATAACTGTAAGTTTAGCAGGGGAAGTGCTAATCACTACCTACCGAGCTTCCATAGTTTTCGCCGCCGACTAAAACCTGTATGTAGGTAAAACGTCAAGTCCACAGATAATGTAAAGCGCAACGCACCCGCCTTATCCGTTAATGAAGCAATCCCATCTAAATAGTGCGTAGGCAGACAGATGTACTTCACCGTCCGTGATGTCCCGAGATAGCCACGTTTCAGTAAATGCAAGTGTATCGGGATGAGACCCATCTACAGGCAGACCTATCTCGCACATCTTATTCCTTAGGCTCTGCACATTACTTAGCACTACCTGAAAGTACTCGTACTGTCCAGCCCTGGGTCGTACGCCAACAGTACCGGCACTGGTAGGGCGGAAATAGGCCGCCGACTGACCACCCGAATATGCACCAACCGGAGACCTTGTTCACCGTCCGCTCGCCTGGTTTTGAGGTCTTTAACGGCCTCTTTTAGCTTCAGCCTATCTGCTAATGGTAGGTCTGGCTGAAAGCTAACATTATTACCCTTCAAGCTGAAGCAAAACAGCTACAGCATATTGCGTTCTTCCGGGGTGGATAGGACTACACGAAATAAGCGCGGTCGAGGGTTTGGGGCGTTACCTGTTAGGTTACCCAACTTAGTCAGTTTCCAGACCATAGATTCGCAACAGCTGCGTAACTTCCCCAACTTCCGTGACACAAGCGGTACGATGACACCGCCGTATGTCATACAAATCGCGCCTTGTTAAACAAACGTTATATTGAAGACGCACAATGCACGCATCTCCTGCGTGCGACGAAACATCTTCCTTAATTTAAGCACCGTGCTTTCCTGATCCGTTGTTAGCCGCCGATTTTCGCCTTACAGCCAAGGCTTTCCCAAGTGAAATCTGTTTGAATGCCAAAGTCAGGCTTTTCCAATCTGGTAACATTCGCCCTTTATAACTGCTGAGAACCGCGCAGGACAATTCTAACACCGGTACCTGTTAAAATATATTCATCAGGCAAATACGCAACACTTACCGCTTTCCAGCAACATTGTATCGCTTACTACGCGCGCACACAAACTGAATATATAGATACTGACATCTTTCCGGTAGCACCTGTACAGTCTCCCGTTGGTAAGCTTTCACAGTTTTAACGCCCCAACGAATGAATGATGTCGCCGTTCCCAACTGAAAGAGTTTCAGATCCTCATTCATCGATGAAAAGTCCACATGTGGACCCTTGAAAATACGTCGGAATGCGCAAGAGTGATCCACCATGGCTGCTTTCGCTAGAAGCGGAAAAATGATTAACCACCGTATCCCATTTAAACCATTCACTTAATTGCTTTCTAATTCTCCTCAGAATATTAACAATGACGTTAACTTAATAATAAACGCACAGTGCGTCGGAAGACCCAAAGCATTCATTTAACAACATACAACCTTGTGTACCACAATCACACTGCCAAAAGATCATCGATCGCGATTGTCGGATCCGACGCTCCGCTCAGTCTGCGTCTATCTGACGCCGGGCGGAGGGCTGGACCTGATCGGTCTCTGGGCTTTGCTTGCAGTGCAAGGTTACGACTCAATATAACTAGTTTTTAACACCCTATCAGTTTGTACTGACTTACACACGCATATGGAAGCGGATGCAATTTATGACTTCACCGCCAACGCAGATGATGAGCTTGGATTTAAGAAAGGTTCACTTCTAAAAGTATGTTTCGTGTAATGGTTGCTAAAATCTGGTGTTATATCCTCAACCTTTTTATTCCTTTAGTGCACTTTGACTTCATTTAGCCTTTCATGTTACCAGTTGGATTTTATTTTCTGAGCTTTCAAGACTAGGTACAACCCACTATACGAACTGATAGACTACCATATGTCCTATTTAGGCGGTTTTTTCGCTCGCAGTGGCAGAGTAAATATGAAATTAAACACCCTGATATGTCAAGATGTTAAATATTATTGAGCTGGCTTTGCTTAGTTTAGTACATAGAGGGGAAGGTTGTTCAAATTATCGTAAGCCTTCAACGTGCAGGAGCTCTCGGAAAATGCATGCCTTCAGACGACTGCATAAATATTACAGCTTCGAAGTATTCACCAACTCTTGAGGCGGCGCTTGAACATGGTTAACATCCTGACAGTGTACTTAACTTAGCTGTGAGTGGGGAAGTTTTACAGGCTAGTGTATTAGCGAAGGTAGTGAGGCGTAAAATAAAGAAATCGGTCAGTACAACCTGACCCACACTAAAATATGTAGTGGTGGGTTCTGTCGCTACTCCGTCCCCGGTAACCGAGGCAGACCGTCAAAACGAGACTGGACCTTAACGTGGTGCTACGGTTTGACCCATTGAGCTATACTGGGTGATGCCTCCGGGCACCTTGAGAGCTACTCCTACCAGGTTGGTCAATGGTGAGAGGTCAGACAAACTCAGTCTCCTGGTCCTCCAGGTTGGGGGTTTGAAATGGGATGGCGTCCATTTCTTTAAAACTAAATCATTGCCACCTCCCCGCTGCCTTGCTGACAGATTTTTGAGCCAAAGGCTTTGGATGAGGACCCTAATCGTCCTTCTGTCTAGGTCTGGGCGCCCTGGCAGTATCTCAGCCCACATACAACCATGACATTTTCTTCAAACATAAATTTCATCTTGCATCGGCCGTCGCGGAGATTATCAAGGGTCGCCGCATCTGCTGCATACAGCTGGGCGGATAAGCGCAAACATGCTACTGCTGGCGCCTCCCTTTTTCTTTTCCACCTTTTTCTCTTACTCCCATCCCGACCCCCATTACTAACATTCCCCCTATAATTCCCAGCTTAATTGACAGCAACCGAAATGCCACTGGAGTAGAACCATCTGCAGCCACCATCCCACTACACCTGTCGGACGCCTATCGGCAAAAGTCCCTTATAAGGCCACGCTATCCCGTTACCATGGCGACATTCAATGTTCGCACTCTAAGACAAACATGTCAACAGGCTGCACTCGCACGCACCTTGGACACACTAGGTATTGATGTGTGTTGTGTGTCCGAAACTAGGATCAATGACCCTAACAGGGTTGTTGAATTAACTGCACTCGGCTTATTCTCTCCTTATTGGTTGCACGCATCCGGAGACGCCGATGCAACACTCACGGGTCAAGCTGGTGTAGGTATCATTCTAAGCTCTAAGGCTGATCCATCGTTGGTTGATTGGATTCCGGTGAACAGGCGTTTATATGCAGAACGTTTGACGACATCAGCTAAGGTTGATTCAGGAAGTAGTACAAAACGCCGTTTGTTTGTGATTTCCGCTTATGCTCCAACCGACTGCAGTTCAAATGCTGTCAAGGATACATTCTATCACGATCTGAACGCGCTACTACGCAGTGTTGCTAGTTCAGATATTATAGTACTTGCAGGGGATATGAACGCACAAGTAGGGCGTCTGAGCTCTTCAGAAGCTCATCTAGGTGGTAAGTATGGGCTTAAGTCCGAACGGACTGACAACGGTGAGCGTCTGCTGCAACTGTGTGTGGAGCACAAGTTGTTTCTTAGTAGCACTGCTTTTAGACACAGTGGTTGCCGAAGTGCCATTTGGCGTCCTCCTGTAGCTGACCAGCAATGGACCCAACTTGATCACATTGCCATAAGTTACAGATGGCGTGGTTCCATCCTGGATTGCCGCTCGTACTGGAGTACCTGTGTCGACTCTGATCATGCCTTGGTGCGCTGTCGTTTCTCCATGAACTTTACCGGGAGGCGCACCAAGCGTCTCCTACGATTGGCAACTGAGAAATTGTCTCAGTCCTCGGTCAGGCAAGCCTATCAAGACGCACTGTGTACCGCACTTCCGCAGTCTTGTCCTAATGATGCTGCGCTTCAGTGGAATAGGATCTCGGCCACTATGCACGACGCAGGAGCATCTGCTTGTGGCACTATCAATCGTCATCACACCAGTCACTGGATATCCGAGAGGTCAGTGAACCTGTTGGCATCTAGATGACACCTCCCGGCTGGCTCTGAACACAATGTGACCAGACGGGCTATTAGGCGTGAACTAAAGCAGAGCCTGCGTGCTGACAAAGAAGTCTGGTGGACTAGTAGGGCTCAAGAAATGGAGGAGGCAGGAGCAGTAGGCAATTACAGCAAGCTCTTCCAGCTTATCCGCACCACTGGTCCCAGAAAACCAAGCGTCAGTGAAACAAACAGACAGCGCGGGTGCACTGATACACAATAAGGAGCGCCTTATGGCTCGTTGGGCGGAACACTTTCAAGATCAGTTCAGCTGGCTCCCTGCTCCCGGACCTCTTCCTACTCAGGTGATGCAGGACGGTTAGTTCAGAGCCTACGTCGGAAGCCGATGTCCGAAACGCGATTACAGCCCTCAATAGTTTTCGTGCCGCTGGCCCGGATTCCCTCCCACCTGCACTATTTAGGGATGGAGGTGAGGTCCTCTGCAAAGCACTGACCTTATTCGAATGTATTTGGAAAGAAGAGAGCGTCCCGGCCGATTGGAGCGAATCGATTATAGTGGCAGTATACAAGAAGGGCAGTCGTACAGGCTGTTCTAACCACAGGGGTATTAGCCTAACGCCAGTTGTGACAAAACTACTAGCCTCGATTCTGCTTCGTCGCCTCACTACGGAACGGGAATTTCGGATTAGTGAAGAGCAGGCTGGACGTGGCTGTATATACCATATATTCACTTTGCGGCAGGTGCTAGAGCAGCGCCACGCATACCGCAGACCGACAATAGCTGTGTTCCTCGATTTCAGGAGTACGTTCGATTCAGTCGATCGATCTATTTGGTTTGAAATACTTGCGCGAAAAGGTATTCTCACGAAATATGTGAACATCCTTCGTGCTCTATACTCGAACACTACAGGTCGCGTCAGGGTTTACGGTGTCCTGTCGGATAGCTTTCCGTCAGGGTTGTCCGAGTTCCCCGCTTTTGTTCAATTTCGTTGTGGATTCTATCATGGAGTGTTCCCTTGCGGAATCTCACGATGTAGGCGTTGAAGTGCTGCCTGGTGAAAGGTTACTTGATCTTGATTATGCGGACGATATCGTCTTGCTTTTCGACAATGTTGAGGCGGCACAATCAACCCTGAATAGCCTATCCAGAGTGGTCTCATTATTTTGTATGCACTTCGCACCTTCAAAGTGCAAAGTGTTGCTGCAGGACCACCAGCCACTTGATGACCCCTTGACGCTTGCTAACGAGGAACTTGAGGTGGTTGATCAATTCACTTATCTTGGCAGCTGCATCAGCAATGATGGGCGCATAGAAACTGACGTCAGCTCACGCATTACAAAAGCCAGAGCTACCTTCTTAAACCTGCGGCATCTTTGGCGACAGAAGGGAGTTTCGTTTCGTCTTAAAGGCCGTGTATACAAGGCCACAGTGAGGGCCTTTCTGCTGTATGGTAGTGAGACTTGGCCCCTTCGGTCTGAAGATCTGAGGCGCCTTCAAGTCTTTGATCATCATTGTCTGCGAAACATTGCTGGAGTCGGATGGCACCAGCGTGTCCGCAACGATGATGTGCATAGGCGAGTACTAGGTAATGCTAATCATGCTAGCTCCCTAGAGCAACAGAGAGCACTGAATAAGTTGCGTTGGCTCGGGCACGTGCTACGTATGCCTGGTCACCGCTTACCTAGGAGGGCCTTGTTCAGTCTACCAGGTGTAGGGTAGCGCAAGGCTCGCGGTGGACAGAAGTTGACTTGGCTGTGGGAAATGAAGTCACTGACGACCAAACTGGGTACCGTTGGTCAGTCTCGCCTTCCGGGCTGGAGTCCACCTGACTCACCTTGTGGTTAGCTCGAGACTTTACATGACATGGCTCGCAACCGACACCAGTGGCGCGTCTGCTGCCGTCTCCTAATCGGATTGTCTGTTTAAAGTGTGTTTGCTGCCGAGTTATCTGCGGGGTAATGGCTGATTATGACGCGTGGCAGTGAAAGCCGAAAGGAAGCTGTCTCGCCGATGCCGCCTTATCTTTGCACGATAGCCAGCTGTTTGTGACGGTATGTTGTCTACACAAGGTGTAGGCGCCTTGACCCAGAATGTTTGCTTAGGGCATTAAGGGTTTCAGGTAAATCCCCCTTCTTTCCCTCTTATTCTTTATTTCATAGGTCCTCATGGTTGTATGGCAGCGAAGCATCAGTTCAAATGGCTGATGTACTGCTGTTGTTGATGATGATGATGAACGGAGGCAGAAAGTTCTTCCACCTCATTGCTGGAATCCTTATCATGTGCATCTGCTGTTCCTACTAAAAGGGATATGAACTCGAGCGCTGCGCGGCCACTGCTACAGTGATGCTTGCCATAAACACCTCGTCGTAGTGATGCATTTACGGACAGCAGCAGTATTTTTAAGAATATCGCGGAGTCCTCTGCGGCTTTTCCGAAAGATCGCATGCTTTAGGACCTTCACTGGTTCAAACTTTCGTTTATAAGCACTTTTCTCCCGGTTTCCTGGGTTTAAAATTAGAAAACTTACTAGGCTTGGGAACATATTGAATGAGAGTACTAAAAGTAAGCCTCGTCTATCGCGCGTGGTCCTGTCTACACCAGAAAAGCGCCAAACATCTTTGCGCTTCACCTTTAAACTAAAGGTCTCCGGAGTGAGTAAGCCGGAACTAACGTTAGCCGATAGGATAAAGCTTAAGGAAGCCATCAAAAATCTTAAAGTGCGTTGTGAAGCTGGCGAGAAAGGTTTATGTTTGATG